CCCTCCGCCCTCGGCCTTCCCCTCCCCCGCTCCTCCCTCCGCCCTCGGCCTTCCCCTCCCCCGCTCCTCCCTCCGCCTCCACCTTCCCCTCCCCCACCTTCCCCTCCACCTCCACCTTCCCCTCCCCCACCTTCCCCTCCCCCACTCCTCCCTCCACCTCATTACCCCCACCTCATTACCCCAACTCCTCCCTCCACCTCATTACCCCCACCTCATTTCCCCCACTCCTCCCTCCACCTCATTACCCCCACCTCATTACCCCCACTCCCTCCTCCACCTCATTACCCTCACCCCTCCATCCCTCACCCCTCCATCCCCACTCCTCCCTCCACGTCACCCCCCCACTCCCTGCCAGTCGGATGAAAATGCTAGTCGATAGGTGCCCTTGCCGAGAAATGGCAGATTGGAGGGACCTCGAGCTGTTGGGACTAGGCCAGCTGAAATGACTCCACAGAGGATGGTGCCCTATCACCAACTTACCCTTGACGCTGATCCAGCTTCCTCAGAGCCAGCTCTCAGATAGAGCAGAACCTCCTGTTTATATCTGCCAGCTCCAATCAGGGAACTCATATTCGATGAGGTCCACCTGGCTGACCTTGTTATAATCACTACACCACTATTATTGCATTTTAATTAATCTTTCTGCCTTAAAGTTGCAACTTTGATTCTTGGCCCCTTCATTCAAATCAATTAATTATTATCACTTCCAGAATAAAAACATGATATTTCAAAGAAGTAGCTGACCTACACAATGAAGTATAAAGCCTTTCAGTTCACTGTTGCAAAAGACAGCTTTACTTGCATTAATTGAACACTTGATAAAATGTCCTTCACACTGATTCTGTCAACATATCACTGCATTCACAAGATTTTCAAACTCTGTAATCACAGCAATGTGTCAACTACTGGAGTCTGGCTGCTTGCTGGCAATGACCAAATTCCAGACCAGTCATTCCGTGCCTTTTGTCCAACCAACTTATGTTTCAAAAACACCGTGCTCAAAGTCTTTTTCTTTTGTTGTGACTCTGCACAGCAACCGGAAAGTCGTCAGCAATATTTGCGCATGCACTGACTGCTGGAAAGGCCAGCTTTTGTTGTTCCTCTGAATTGCTTTTAAAAGCCTATGTCCTACACTGCTCAGGTTTCAGTACCACCCCTGCTCAGTGCCTTTCACCCCAGATGGGTATATCACTGGAGTAGACAATGCTGTAAATCTCTCGCATTGAATCTTGCAATCAGGCCGTCTCATAGGAAAGGATTTATTGCTCATCTCTAGGCCTCAAGCTCTGACCTGCACAGACATGAGCCAAAAGGACACCTCCGTTCAGGATCAGCTTAAGGTAAGCGGATTGGAGCATTACTCAAGCTGTTTATTTTCATTAGTAAGCATACAGTGCACTCGCTAGAAATGCAAGCTCTATTAGATTCATGCAGACATCGGTGTTCATGATCAGAAGAAGCCACTTTAGGAAGAATGTTACTTTCGTGCAATTTGGGAGCTTCTTGGAAAAACAGTGGGCGACATTAAAGAGGTGTTTGAATATTGCTCAAGCAGGTTGCTAAGAGGTTGCCTCTGCTTCTTTTCTTCCCCTGGGTCCTAGCACCCCTGTGTTACATGCAAGCCTACAGACACACACACACACATGCACACACATCACACACAGACACATGCACACATGCATGCACACATACAGACACACACACGTCCATGCACATCACACACGGACACATGCACACACGAACACACACGCACGCACACATGCACACACATTCACATATGTGCACAATACATGCACACACATAATTAAGAACAGTAAGTTAATGAAAGGCTGACACATGAGTGATGCTGTGGTGTAAAAGGTTACAGCATTATTTTGGATACAGTAATCCAAGACACTAGGGATGTAACATCACAAAACTCATAGAACGACTAAGAGATGGTTGTGTATGGAAGTGTCATGTAAAGCCTAGTCCTGTAACTATACGTTATCGTGCTCACTGTTAGGTATTGCTGAATGACAGCCAAGGCCTCTTGCAAAGTTATCATCCCTAATCCTGAACACAACAAAATGACAATCACAGATGGTTCTTAGCAAAATACAAGAAATAACATGGCAAGTTTAGTCATTTTTCACACGCCAGACCACAGGAGTGGATGGTTTGAGATAATTCTAGCTGCTGGGCTGTAAGTTAAGGTCAGATCACGTTTGTTCTTTGATTTATAGTCAGCTGTGATTCTGGGTCAGTGGGGTTCTGTTGTATTATTACATCGATCCCAGTCTAGACAGGTATACTACATTTCAGACAGTGAGACACGGTCAAACCATATCATGTCCCTCACCTTCAGTAAACAGCCATTCCATTTCTTATTTTTCTCCTTGAATTCCTCTCACTTTGTTTAGGGTAAAGGGGCCATGGGTACCCGCATGAACCCCAGTTATGCCTGTCTCTTAGTTGGGTACGTGGAACATTCCTTGTTCCAGTCCTACTCCGGCCCCCACCTACAACTCTTTCTCTGGTACTTCGATGACATAATCGGTGCTACTTCCTTCTCTCAGTTGGAATTGGAAAAGTTAATTGCTTTCACTTCCAATTTCCACCTTGTTCTCACCTTGACTTGGTTTATCTCTGACTCTGCCCTTCCCTTCTCCGTCACTGTTACATTTGTTTTGATGATGCCTACTTTGACAAGGAGGTCTGCAAAATATCCACCTTCTTCCTCAACCAAGGAATCCCCAGCACTGTTGTTTACAGGGCCGTCAGCTAAGCCGGACCCATCTCCCGCACTTCAGCCCTCACCCCTTTACTTCTCTCCCACAGCAGCAATCAGGTCCCCCTTGTCCTCACCTACCATCCCACCAACATCAAAATCAATATTAATGAAGGATCATTAACTGCCATTTCTGCCACCTCCAGCAGGATGCCACCAACAGACACATATTACCCTCCCTTCCCTTGTCAGCATTCCACAAGGACCATTCCCTCTGGAACACTCTGGTCTATTCCTCCTTCACTCTCAACATCCTCCATCACAGCCACTTGGCACCTTCTGTAACCGCAGAAGGTGCAGCACCTGCCTGTTTACTTCCTCCCTCATCAGTATCCAAGGTTCCAGACACACCTTCCAGGTGAAGCAGTGCTTTACCTACACTTTACCAGAATCAATGGGCCAAAGGGTCTTTTTCTGTGCTGTGTCACTCTATGATTCTCTTTGGAAACCTCTTCTTGAAAAAGTGGTGAAAGCAAAGTCTTTGAATATTTTTAAAGCAGAGGTAGATAGCTTCTTCATGAGGAAGGGAGAGTGTAAGCTCATGAGATCCTGCTCTGAAATTGTATGTTTGTAAGTAACCTCTGCACTTGGGAACTCTCATGCTGTTGCTTTTTAACATCAAACAGTCTCTCTCATTAGCTAATCATCAAATATTGCCCAAACCCTTCTCCCAACATCTGTTTCCAATGTCAGACCTGGTTATAATGAAGGAACAATCAGCAGGCTGTTGCTCAAACACAAGATGTGTATTTCAAAGCTCCATTTAGTGTTTAATGACACTGTGGTCTCCCAGATTGAACCAACACTGATTAACCATCATCTGGTGTTTGGGAGTTGAATGAGATTATTAAATTTTCAATCATACTCCTTTTCTCCAAACTGTCCCCACTTTTGTTGTTGTTGCCTTGAGCAGTTCTTGTAAATTTTCACTTAATTAGAGACACAGGTGGTTTGGTGGGGGGGAGAATTTATTTAAAAAAAACTAACGTAAGACCATAAGCGAGAGGAACAGAATAAGACCATTTGGCCTGTCAAAGTCTGCTCTGCCATCTGACCTTGGCTATAGATTTGGGGTTTCTCAACCCCATTTTCCTGCCTTCTCCCCGTAACCCTCGAACATCTTACCAATCAAGAGCTGGTCAATCTCTGTCTTAAATGCATTTAATGACTTGGCCTCTACAGCCCTCTGTGGCAATGAGGTCCACAGATTCAACACCCTCTGGTTGGAGAAATTCCTCCTCATCACAGTTCTAATGTGTCATCCCTTCTCTTTGAAGCTGTGCTGTCAGGTCCTAGTCTTTCATACTAATAGTAACATTTTGTCCATGCCCACTCTATTCAGGCCTCTCAGTAATCTACTGAGATCCTCTCTCATCCTTCTGAACTTCATTGAGCACAGATCCAGTGTCCTCAATCGCTCGTCAAATGACAAGCCCTTCATCTCCGGGATCATTGCTGTAAACCTCATCTAGACCCTCTACAAGAGCATCGCATCCTTCTTTAGATAGGGAGCCCAACACTGCTCACAGTACTCCAAATGCAGTCTGACCAGAGCCATAAACAGCCTCAGCAGTCCATCTCTGCTGTTGTTTTCCACCCCTCTTAAAATGAATGCTAATATTGTGTTTGCCTTCTGCAATGTGCATGAGTTGGTGGTGGTTAAAACTGTTCAGTGATGAGAAAAAACATTCCTGGATATAAAAGAGCTCAACCATACACCTATGGGCTTGCTCCTGGGCCTGGTCAAAGTTGCTGCTAACAAGTTCAGGTATTGGGTCATGAAAGGGGTCATCGTTCACGACTGCCTGCCTCTCTTCCACAACTGTGTTCGCACTTGGGTGTTCTTGGAGAGAGAGCACCCAGTGCCCACCAGTACTCACCATGCCTTTACTGAGAAAGGGGCACTATGAAGGGTGGAATGCAATATTTGCCTCCTCCAACTCTATTCTAATTTAAAAGCCTGGTCCCTTTCCCTAAGCTTCTGTTTTCTAATTCCTGCTGTTCCCTGATGGGTAGTTTTTTTAAAATTCGTTTGTGGGATGTGGGCGTTGTTAGCTCACCAGCATTTCTTTCCCATCCCTAGTTGCCATTGAGAAGGTGGGGGTGAGCTGCCTTCTTGAACCACTGCGGTCTTTCTGCTGTGGGTTGACCCACAATGCCATTAGGGAGGGAATTCCAGGATTTTGACCCAGTAACAGTGAAGGAATGGCGATATATTTACAAGTCAGGATGGTGAGTGGCTTGGAGAGGAACTTGCAGGTGGTGGTGTTCCCATTATCTGCTGCCCCTGTCCTTCTAGATGGAAGTGGTCATGGGTTTGGAAGGTGCTGTCTGAGGATCTTCAGTGATTATGTGCAGTGCATCTTGTGGATAGCACACACTGCTGCTACTGAGCGTTGGTGGTGGAGGGAGTGGATGCTTGTGGATGTAGTGCCAATCAAATGGATTGCTTTGTTCTGGATGGTGTCAAGCTTCTTGCGTGTTGTTGGGGCTGCACCCATCCAGGCAAGTGAGGAGTATTCCATCACACTCCTGACTTGTGCCTTGTAGATGGTGAACAGGCTTTGAGGAGTCAGGAGGTGAGTTACTCACTGCAGTATTCCTAGCCTTTGACTTGCTCTTGTAGCCACTGTGTTTATTTGGTGAGTCCAGGTGAGCTTCTGGTCAATGATAAACCCCAGGATGTTGATAGTGGGGGATACAGTGATGGTAACATCATTGAATGTCAAGGGGCGGTGGTTAGATTGTCTCTTATTGGTGATGGTTATAGCCTGGCATTTGTGTGGCACAAATGTTACTTGCTTGGGCCGAGGACGCTACCCTGAGGAATTCCTGCTAAGATGTCCTGGAACTGAGATGACTGACCGCCAACAAGCACGACCGTCTTCCTATGTGTCAGGTATGACTCTAACCACCAGAGAGTTTGCCCCCTGATACCCATTGATTCTAGTTTTGCTAGGGCTCCTTGATGCCACACACTGTTGAATGCAGCCGTGATGTCAAGGGCTGTCACTCTCACTTCACCTCTGGAATTCAGCTCTTTTGTCCAAATTTGAACCAAGGCTGTAATGAGATCAGGAGCTGAGTGGCCCTGGCGGAACCCAAACTGGGCATCACTGAGCAGGTTATTGCTGAGCAGGTGCTGCTTGATAGCACTGTTGATGACACCTTCCATCACTTTACTGATGATCGAGAGGAGACTGATGGGGCGGTAATTGACCAGGTTGGATTTGTCCTGCCTTTTGTGTACAGAACATACTTGGGCAATTTTCCACATTGCTGGGTCAATACCAGTGTTGTAAATGTACTGGAACAGCTTGGCTAGGGGAGCGGCAAGTTCTGGAGCACAAGCCTTCAGTACTATTGTCGGAATGTTGTCAGGGCCAATACCCTTTGCAGCATCCAGTGTCTTCAACTGTTTCTTGATATTACATGGAGTGAATCAAATTGGCTGAAGGCTGGTATCTGTGATGCTGGGGACCACAGGAGGAGGCTGAGTTGGATCATCCACTCGGCACTTTTGGCTGAAGATTGCTGCGAATAATTCGGCCTTATCTTTTGCACTGATGTGCTGGGCTCTTCCAGCATTGAGGATGGGGATATTTGTGGAGCCTCCTCCTCCAGTGAGTTGTTTAATCGTCCACCACCATTCAGTACTGGATGTGGCAGGACTGCAGAGCTTAGATCTGATCCGTTGATTATGGGATCACTTAGCTTTGTCTATCACTTGCTGCTTTCGCTGTTTGGCGTGCAAGTAGTCCTGTTTGGTGGCTTCACCAGGTTGATACCTCATCTTCAGGTATGCCTGGCATGCCCTCCTGCACTCTCCATTGAACCAGGGTTGATCCCCTGGCTTGATGGTAATGGTTGAGTGGGGAATATGCCGGGCCATGAGATTACACATTGTGCTGAAGTACAATTCTGCTGCTGTTGATGGCCCACAACACCTCATGGATGCCCATTCTTGAGCTGCTAGATCTGTGCGAAATCTGTCCCGTTTAGCACAGTGATAGTGCCACACAACACAATGGAGATGCTTGTTAATTGTTAATTTATTTCGAGAAAAGGGTGATTTTATGATGGCTTCGTTAAAAATGACACCTTAATCCTTCTCTGCATAGACCTGCTCATGGGCCTAGCTAATGTAGCCATCAACAGCCCCAGACAGGGGGTTATAGTTTCTGATGCCTGCCCCATTTCCTGGCTATATTCATACCTGGATGTCTTTGGAGAAGGGGCACGTGGTGTCTACCAACTGTCTCAATGCTTTAGGGAAGTGTGGTTACCATGGAGGCTAGACTGCACTATTCCCCCTCCAAATCCACTTTAATTTAGTCCCCTCCCTCTTTTCCTAGCCTCCCCTATTTATGTTGCTGTTGCTGGTGGGCAGTGCTGGCATTTCACTAATTTACTTAGGGACAGATGATTTAGCAGAGGTTTATTTTAAGAAAACTCAATCATTCTCCAGACGCCAGTTTGCTGTTTCTTCATTTCTGTTTTATTGCTTTAGGTGAAAAGTGTATTTCAGCATCCTAAAAAAAATTACATTAATGTCTGGAAAGGCAAGAATAAAAATTGCAAAAGATCTTTTGGCCAAATTACTTTTTCATCAAAAGCAAAATCTGGGACAAACTGGGATTAAATTTCTTCTGAATGTTATAAATAGAATAAGACTAAGACACTGGATCCAGATCGAAGGCTGAAACTTAACAATAAAACCAAAACATTAATATTTACAAAAATAATACTAAGTTGGAAATGTTCATGCTCATTAAGCTGTTGGTAAAGGAAGATTTCATAAGATGGTGCTGGTTACTGGTAAGGAGCAGTATTGCAACGATACATTATGACAGTAAAACCGTGCTTTAGAAAGAAAATTTCACAGGCAATATGTGCACACAAGCTCCCACTAACAGGAATGTAATAATGGAGAGATAGCCTGTTTTCGTGATATTGATTGGAGGGTGTGTATTTGGGATAGCTCTCCTCTTGTGTAAAATGTTGCCTCAGGATGTTTTCCATATATCATTTAGGGACAGGAGTAAGCCATTTGTCCCCTCAAGCCTGTTCTGCTACTCAGTAGGACTGTTCTGATCTGATTATGTCCTCAAATCCATTATCCTGACTACTGCCCAATACCATTTGACTTCTGTGTTAGCTCAGAACCTATTCACCTCTACCTTAAAAACATTAATTCCTCCAGCCACGACAATTGTATTGAACCCTGTCCTGGGAATGTTGATAGAGACATGTACAGGAAGTTTTACACCCCATCTAATTAACTGATGGCCCAGTGGTATTATTGCTGGACTGTTAATCCAGAGACCGAGAAAACGGGCTGGGGACCCGGGTTTGAATCCTGCCATGGCAGATGGTGGTATTTGAATTCAATAAATATCTGGAATTAAGAATCTAATGATGACTGTGAATCCATGTCAATTGATGGGAAAAACCCATCTGGTTCACTAATGTCCTTCAGGGAAGGAAACTGCCATCCTTACCTGGTCTGGCCTACACATGACTCCAGACCCACAGCAATGTGGATGATTCTTAACTGCCCTCTGGCAATTAGGAACGGGCAATAAATGCTGCCTAGCCAGCAATGCCCTCATCCTGTTAATGAAAAAGAGAACTTCATGCTATCCCTATCCTGGGGAGTACTTGATGGGGACAATGTGGATGGTGTATCACACTGCATTAACTCCATGCTGTCCATGTCCTGGGGAGTGTTTGATGGGGACAGTGTAAAAGAAGCTTTACTCTATATCACTCAGGATCATTAAGAATGAACATTCAAAAATGTGAGGGGGAAGGGTCACCGGACCCGAAATGTTGACTCTAATTTCTCTTCACAGATGCTGCCAGACCTGCTGAGTTTTTCCAGCAACTTCTGCTTTATTTCTGATTTACAGCATCCGCAGTTCTTTTGGTTTTTAATTCTCTTTTCCTATTGGTTTCAGACTTATTATGGCAAACGACTGAAAAGATCGGAAGATTTGCAAACCGATGTTGCCTGCTACAAAACATGCACCCCCCTCAGTAAATCAGCTGCTGATGCTATGAGACTCATCCATCCAGAGGTTACTCAAAGGTACAGATTTTACAGGGAGCTGCCTTGTACCCAACTGAAGCCTGTTTGATATGCAGATAGAAACTTGTGAATTTGGGGGTAGAAGATGGCCTAGTGGTATTATCGCTGGACTATTAATCCAGAGACCCAGATAACACGCTTGGGACATGGGTTCAATTCCCACCACAGCAGATGGTGGAAATAGAGTTCAATAAATATCTGTAATTAAGAATCTCATGATGACTGTGAATCCTTTGTCAATTGTTGGGGAAAAACCCACCTGGTTCACTAATGTCCTTCAGGGAAGGAAACTGCCATCCTTACCTGGTCTGGCCCAGGTGACTCCAGCCCCACAGCAATGTGGTTGACTCTTAACTGCCCTCTGGGCAATTAATGATGGCCAAGCTAGTGGTGCTGTCATCCCATGAATGAATTAAAAAATAATCCCCACCCAGATTATTCCTCCCCTCTCCACAGTCCCTTGAAAACAACCCCTCACTATCTCTCCTCCTCACTTTTCTGAGACTCCCCCAGCACCCAGAATTAACCAGCTCCTCAGTGTGGTGGAGTTCCAGCAGTGACCACTGTTCCTGCCTGGCGCTGTTTGGACTACAAAGCTGTCGGCCATCCCATTGGCAACAGGATTTTTCTTAATAATTCGATCTCAGGATTTAGGCATCACTGTTTGGGTCAGCATTTACTGCCTATCCTTATTCGTCCTTGAATTGCTACTGTCCATTTCATGTAGGTAGACTTACAATGCCTTTGGGCAGGGAGTTCCAAGATGTTGACCCAGTGACAGTGAAGGAATGGCAATATATTTCCAAGTCAGGATGGTGAGTTGCTTGGGGGGGATCTTGTAGGTGGTGGCGATCCCATATACATGCTGCCCTTGTCCTTCTAGATGGTAGTTTGGAGGGGTTTGGAATGTGCTGTGTAAGGAGCCTTGGTAAGTTGTTACAATGCATCTTGAACATACTGCTGCCACCTGCCGCTGCCACTCTCCCTTTGTGACATATTGAGTGAACGTGGTCAATGGGGTAACTTTCAGGCAGCCTGCTTTGACCCAGTGTCAGGCATCTTGCATGATGCTGGAACTGTATCCATCTAGTATTCTGTAACTGCACTCTATCACAAGCTTTGTAGATGGTTGGCACAGTTTCAGGAGTCATGAGATGATTTAATCGCCACAGAATTCCCAGTCTCTGACCATCTGTTTAGCCCTGTTTTTTTTTTTGACTAGTTTGCTTCATTTTCCGATCAATGGTAAGCCCCAGGATGTTGACAGTGAGGATTCAGCAAATGGGAATGGCATTAAATGTCTTGATGGTTGGATTCTCTATTCTTGGAAATGGCCTTTGCTTGGCACTGTTGTGATGAATACATTATTTCCCACTCAACAGTCCAATCCTGAATGTTGTCCAAGTCTTTGTTGTTTCTAGATACAGACTGTTTCAGTATCTGAAGAGTGTTTAATAGTGATGAGCATTGTGCAAACATCACTGAACATCTCACTTGTTATTTTGGGGCTTGTGATATAACGACAGTGTCCCTATGAGGCCCATGTTCAAGTCCCACCTACTCCAGAGGTGTGTAATAAATCTCTGAACAGGTTGATTAGAAATATCTACCCTGAGGAACTCCTGTAGAGATGTCCTGGCACTGAGATGACTGATCTCCAACAACCACAACCATCTTCCTATTCCCTAGGTATGACTCAAACCTTTCTGCGCTGTAGGGATTCTCCAGGATAGAAAATTCCAAAGATTCACAATCCTCTGAGTGAAGAAATTCCTCCTTATGTCAGTCCTAAATTGACCTTTTATTATGAGTCTGTGACCCTATGTTCTAGATTTGCCAGCGAGAGGAAACATTTTATTATCTACAGTGACTATTCAAGCCCACCGGAGCTATGGTTTATTATGGTCCTGTGTAGGAGTACAACACACTGCAACTATCTGTGTCTGTGAAAGAAAAGCAATTGGATTCCTTGATGGGCTCACCCTTCTCTATCTCCATAAGCTCCTCCCAAAAGGCAATAACATTTCTCCATTTTTCACTTCCTTCACATTCCTATTTCCACATTTTCCTTATTATTTGGTCTGTGCCTTGTCTGGGAGATGGTATTTGGTGTGTGTCTTGTCTGGGACGTGGTGTTTGGTGTGTGTGTTGTCTGGGAGGTGGTGTTTGATGTGTGTCTGGTCTGGGAGATGGTGTTTGGTATGTTTTTTTTATAATTTATTCACAGTATGAGGGTGTAGCTGGCTAAGCCATCTTGTATTGCCCATTCCTAATTGCCCAGAGGGCAGTTAAGAGTCACATTGCTGTAGGTCTGGAGTCACATGTAGGCCAGATCAGGTAAGGATTGCAGTTTTCTTCCCTAAAGGACATTAGTGAACCAGATGGGTTTTTCCAACATCAACAATGGATTCATGGTCATCATTACACTCTCACTTTCGGATCTGCTGCGGTGGGATTCGAACCCAGGTCCCCAAAACATTACCTGTCCCTCTGGCCTATCTTTTCCAATCTGACTTTACATAAGAAACTAAGAAATAGGAGCAAGAGTAGACCATTTGGCTCATCAAGCCTGCTCAACCATCCAATAAGATCCACGGCTGATCTTTACGTGGACTCAGCTCCACGTACCCACCCACTCACAATAGCCCTCAATTCCTTTACTGTTCAAAAACCTATCTGTGCCTTAAAAACATTCAACGAGGTAGCCTCGACTGCTTCACTGGGCAGGGAATTCCACAGATTTACAACACTTTCAGAGAAGAAGTTCCTCCTCAACTTAGTCCTAAATCTGTTTCCCTTATTTTGAGGCTATGCCCCGTTGTTCTAGTTTCACCCACCAGTGAAAACAACCTCCCTGCTTCTATCTTATCCATTCCCTTCATAATTTTCTTTCTCTTTTTGTCCCCTTGGTTGTTTTACAGGTATTTTGGATGTGGGCTTGTAGTGCCAGAAAGCCTCGAAAGATGTCATGTGTTGGATCTGGGAAGCGGGTCTGGGAGGGACTGCTACATCCTGAGCAAGTTGGTGGGACCTAATGGCCATGTCACAGGAGTAGACATGACTGATGAGCTAGTAAGGCACTGGAGAAAATGATTAATTCTGTGATTGCTGTCCTCTCAGCTAGAATCCAAAGTAAATATAATTTTCAAATTTATTCACTTCAGTCTGTGAATATTCTGTCTTACTCCATTCCTGAGGTGACTGTATGGTTTCTAAGTTAGGGTAGCATTCTTCATTTGTGAGACGGTATTGTGAAGGATGGTGAACTTTGGAAAGCTTCATGGCTTAATACAGTCTTTCAGGTCAGTGTGATGACCTGCCAAGCTTTTATTTATTTGTGTACTGATGAAGTTTGCTCACTAACTCTACCAACCCAATGTAGAGAACAAAAAAAAAATCTAGTCTCCAAGTAATCACTCACCTTGTGTCCTTGAGATATTTGTTGTCTGAAAATCACCGAGTCCATTCTGCTGCCTCCTTGCAGGCCTGTGCACTGCCCTGAGCCTTCAACCCTGCTCTATTTTTGCTCCTGGCTCAGCTCCACTTGGATCAATATTTCAGTATATTTTTGCCTCTCAGACAGATTTTTAGGGGTGGAAATGCACATTTTAGAGATTTGTCTGTAAAAAGTCAATTGGATTGTCTGGTGTAGCACTGAGGGAGTGCTGCATTGTCAGGGGTGTAGTCTTTTGAATGCCAGGCTCAACAGAAGCTTCATCTGCCTTCTCAGTTAGCTCTATTTTCTAAACAAAAACAATCAAGTTTGCCCAGTATTCTGGATCAATAATTATGCCTCAAGCAGCAATAGTATGTAGAAGGAGTCACTGTGGAACTTTCTCTGCAGAAATTTGTAACTACATTTCCGATAACAGTCACCATACTTCAAAGGATACTTCATCAGCTGTATAACACTTTGTGATGTCGGCGGGGAGCTGCTATAGAAACACAAGCCTTGTTGTCTTGAACAGCTCTGCCGAAATTCCTATGTAGGACCATGAGAGCAGAAGTAGGTCATTCAGCCCTTTATATACCACTGCCTTTCATTTCAATCATGGCTGATCATTCAGTTCAATGACTTTTTCCAAAATTATTCCCACATCCCTATCTGTCCTTGGTGTTCAGAAACCTCTCAATTTCTACTTTGAACATCCTCAATGACTGAATTTCCACAGCCCTCTGGCCAATAGAATTCTAAAGATTTGCAGCACTCTGGGAATAAAAAAATCCTCATTTCAGTCTGAAGTTTTTAGTTTATTTTTAGATTGTTCTGGAATTCCCAACCAGGGGAAACATCTTACTTACATTTACCCTGCATCTATTTCTTTAAGTATTTCATAACTTTCAACATGATCACCTCTTATTCTTCGAAGCTCTAGAGAATACTGCCCCGGTGTCCACTATCTCTCTTCAAAGGAACAGTCCCGTCATTCTGGGAACAAGTCTGGTTGTAAATTCTCTGGGCCAGGGTACCCAGGTTTGATTCCAGCCTTGGGTGACTGTCTGTGTGGAGTTTGCACGTTCTCCCCGTGTCTGCGTGGGTTTCTTCCAGTCGTTCCAGTTTCCTCCCACAGTCCAAAGATGTGCAGGTTAGGTGGATTGGCCATACTGAAATTTTCCATAGTGTTCAGGGATGTGTCGGCTAGGATTAGCCACGATAGATTGGGGGGGGGGGGTTACGGGATACAGTGGGTGGCTGGATCTGTGAGGTATGCTCTTCAGAGGGACAGTGCTGACTTGATGGGCCAAATGGCCTTCTTCCACATTCTATGATTCTATGAAAACTGCACACAGTACTCAAGGTATGATCTAACCAAGATTCTCTGCAGTTGAAGCCAGATTTTGCTATTTTTTTTCATTCAGAAAATGTGGCATTGTTGGCTGGGTCAGCATTTATTGCCCATCCCAGTTGCCCATGAGAAGGTGGTAGTGAGCTGCCTTCTTGAACCACTGCAGTCCACGTGCTGTAGGTTGACCCAAAAAACCACTGGAGAGGGAATTCCAGGGTTTTGATCCAGTGACAGTGAAGGAATGGCAATATATTTCCAAGTCAGAATGGTGAGTAGCTTAGAGGGGAACTTGTAGATGTCCATGTCCTTCTGGATGGAAGTGGATTTGAAAGATGCTCTCTAAAGAGTCTTGGTAAATTTCTGCAAGGCACCTTGTAAATGGTACAAATTGCTGGTGATGGGCATTGATGGTGTAGGGAGTGCATGTTTGTGGAAGAGGGCTGCTTTGTCTTCGATGGTGTTGAGCTTCTTCAGTTTTGTTGGAGCTGCACCCATCCAGGCAAGTGAGAAGTATTCCATCACATAATAATTACACAGTGTGGAGCTGGAGGAAAACAGCAAGCCAGGCCACATCAGAGGAGCAGGAAAGCAGGTCGGGACCCATCACACAATGACTTGTGCCTTTCTTATTGCTAGCTCTTGACTTTCAGTGACTTATTGATGAGGACACCTAGGTCTCTTTTTAAACCTACACTTTCTGATCTCTTACCATTTAAGAAATACTTTACATGTCGGTTCTTCCCAGCAAAGTGGATAAGCTCTCAGTTTCCCATATTGCATTTCATTTACCATGTTCTTGCCATTTCACTCAGCCTTTGCAAATCCTCTTGAAACCACTTTGCATCTTTCTCACAGCACGCATTCCGTCCTAGCTTTGGGTCAGGTGCAAACTTTGAAATGGTATATTTAGTCCTCACATCCAAAACATTGATACATCTTGTAAACAGCTGGGCACCAAATACTGATCCTTTCAGTACCCACTGGTCATAGACTGCCAAGGCAAGAGTTACTTGCTTTTTCTGCTCTCTCTTTTCATGATATGGGTTTGAGCTTTATCCCCACCATGTGAACTGTTTGGCTGGCCCTCACTACCATTAAATCAGATACTAAATAGAAGGACTGGTTTGATAAATGGAAAACTGTTCCAACAGGGAGCTGACCAGTGATTGGGGCTGAGTATATTGTTAGGCAGTGTGGAGGGAATGTTACTCTGTTTTTAACCATGCTGCACTGACACTTAGAGTGTTTGATGAGGACAGTGTAGAGGAAGCTTTACTTTGGATCTATCCCTGTGTTGTAAATGACCTGGGAGTATTTGATGGAGATAATGCAGATGGAGAATTGTTGTGCGTCTAACCCTGTGCTGTGCCTGTCCTGGGGAGTGATTGATGGGGACAATGTGGAGTATAAATGTGAGATACTATTTTTTCGTACAACAAACAAGGGTAGGGTTCGTATGATTAATGGTAGGGCCATGGGTGGTGTTGTAGAGCAGAGGGATGCAGGAACATAATTCTTTGAAGTTTACATCACATATAGACAGGGTGGTTAAAAAGGCGTTTGGTATGGTTGCCTTCATTGCTCAGTCCTTTGAGGATAAGAGTTGGGATGTCATGTTGAGTTTGTACAGGACATTGGTGAGGCCTCTACTGGAGTACTGTGTCCAGTTCCGGTCGTCCAGTTATAGGAAGGATATTATTAAGCTGGAATGGGCACAGAAGAGATTTACCAGGATGTTGCTGGGAATGGAAGCTTTGTGTTTTAAAGGAAGGCTGGATAGGCTGGGACGTTTTTCACTGGAGGTCAAGAGGCAATCTAATAGAAGTTCATAAAATAATGAGAAGTATAGATAGAGTTAATGGTAATTATCTTTTCCCTAGGATGGGGGATTTCAAGACAAAGGGGCATATTTTTAATGTGAGAGGAGAGAGATTTAAAAAAGACATGAGGAGCAATTTTTTTACACAGAGGGTGGTTCCCGTGTGGAACTGAGGAAGTGGTGGATGTGAATACAATTATAACATTTAAAAGACATTTGAATAGGAAAGGTTTGGAGGGATATGGGCCAGGTGCAGGCAGGTGGGACTAGTTTAGTTTGGGATTATGGTCGCCATGGACTGGTTGGACCAAAGGGTCTTTTCCTTGCTGTATGACTCTATGACTCTAGTCTGGGTTTAACCCATGTTTTCAATGACAACCTGCTTCCTTACTCTAAACCTGCTTTTGCTCCAGATTCAACTCTCCCGCAAGTACATCTCATATCATCAGGAGAAGTTTGGATACAAGGAAACAAACACGGAATTTATCCAGGGATACATCGAGAAGCTTGGAGAAGCTGGGATTCAGTACAACAAATTTGACGTTCTGGTGTAAGTCAGAGTAAATGATCTGTTTCATTTGCCAATTTGTTTGGTGCCTTTTTAAAAATCTGTCTGTTTATTATTTTGGCTAGTTCTGTCCATGCTGTCCTGAAGGCACTGACTTTAGCTTTCTGAGTGTTTTTTCATGGCCAGTTATCATAGAATCATCAAATCCCTACAGTGTGGAAGCAGACCATTTGGCCCATCAAGTCCACACCATCCCTCTGAAGAACTTCCCAAGTACCTTGTACCTTATCTCTGTAAGACTGCATTTCCCATGGCTAATCCACCTAGCCTACACATCTCTGGACATTATGGGCAGTTTAGCATGGCCAATCCACCTAACTGCACATGTACAAACTCCACAGAGACAGTCGCCTGATGCTGGAATTGAACCCATGTTCCCTGTTGTGAGGCAGCAGTGCTAACCACTTTGCCATTGTGCCACCCTTTGTTACAGTATCCCAACAAGTGGCCATTCTTCATGAGTGTGCCTAGAATATGAGTGTGGGCAAACAATTCACTGTAAGACTTGTCAGAATAGATCCCAACCTAGGCCCTTAATGTCCCAACACCAGTTGTAAGAAAATAGCTTCCTCTCGCTGCCTGTCAACTTCCTCCTGTGCAGGACCAGGCCGTCTGTAACTCTAAGTGAATTGGGAACCTTTTTTTTTTCTCGACCCCAGGAATCTGATACAACGTCTCATTAAGGACTTCAATTCGCCACCTCCTCGGCAGGTGAGATAGGCTGCTGGTTTTCCAAACTAGGTTAGGAGGGGTCCTCCAACTTCCCAAATCTAGGGGCAATCAGAGGCATGGATGAGGGATTAAATGGATCTGATTTGCCAGCAGCTTCTGGAAGCCCATGTTGCAATGTCGAGGCCAGTGATTTGTCCAGGGACTCTCCCTCTTTCTGCCTGTCAGCTTCTAACAAGCTAATTGGCAGAAAATTGATCGTGTTTGTTTCTCTTGGTGGTGGTGGTGGCATGATAGTTACCTCCTTGCTTGCCCCCACACTTACAAGAGAAAATCACGCCAAGAGAAAATAGGATGGTTAACTGGATATTGGTCATCAGAAAAATGCTTGAATCCATTGTGATGGAAGTATAAACGAACCACTGTGAAGAAACAGGTAGAGTCAACATAACTTTATCAAAGGGAACTTTGGTATGCTTGACAAAGCTATTTACTTTTTTTTAACTAGCTGGGTAGGTAAAGGAGAACAAATGGATTTAGCATATTTGGATTTTCAAAAGGCATTTGATGAGGTGTGCTAATGGTTATTACACAACACAAGGGGTCACGGGTTTGGGGGTAATATGCCAGAGGGTTGCCTTATAAACAGAATTAGGGATAAAAGAAGTATCCGAAATGCAGAGAAGAGTCAGTGGCGTTATGCAAGGATCAGTACCAGGCCCTCAGCTTTTACAATCTACGATTAATGACTTTTTGGAGTAGCATGAGTAATGTATCTAAGTTTGCTGATGATACAAAGTTGGAAGGCCCAGTCAACTATGAGGAGGATACAGAGGCTGTAAACCATCACGAACAGGTTATAGGAGTGGACAGTAAAGCAGCTGCTGAAGTAAATTGGGGAAATGTGAGGTTATTTGTTTTAGTAGGAAGAATATGATAAGAGCATTTTAAACATTGTCATTCAGAAAGGTTTGGGTATCCTTGTGTGAAAAGCACAGGAAGCTGGCATGCACTTACAGCAAGCAGTTAGGACAACAAATAAAAATTGAATACTGCGAATGCTGGATATCTGAATTCAAAACAGAAAGTGCTGTAGGAACTCAACAGGTCTGGCAGAGTTAATGCTTCAAATCTGATTTGCTTCTGTTAAAGAGCTGAACAACAGAGAAAACAAATGGTGTGTTAGCTTATATTGACAGTATCAAAATGCAGACAGCACCAGGTTATAGTACAACAGGTTTATTTGAAATCACAAGCTTTTGGAGCGTAGCCCCTCCATTAGGTGAACTTCACCTGCACCTCCACATCATATATTGAGAGTGGACTGGAATATTAAAAAGAAATTCTGTGATTGTGAAGGGTTTTTGTGCAACTACACCTATGCACGGTTTTGCCCTTCCCATCTAAAGATACAGCACAGTGAATGTTCACATGGCTGACTCCTGGGCTGAGTAGGATGGCCAATGATCAGAGGCTTAATAAATTGGTCCAATATTCTCTGGATTTAGAAGAATGATTGGTGATCTCATTGAAACAGACACAACTTTGTGGGACCAGACCAATGTCAACACCGAGAGATTGTTTCTCCAGTTTGGGGAATTTAAACATCAGACACACTGTCTCAGGATAAGGGGTCACCCAGTGTGGACCGAAACAAAGAGAAATATCTTCACTCAGAGGGTGTGAGTTTATAGTTCTCCACCCTGGAGAATTGTGATTGCCCATTCACAGGTTTATTTGAGGTTGAGATAAACATATTTTTGGACTCTAAGAGAATGAAGGAGTCAGACAGGTAAGTGGAGTTAAGGCAGCAGGTCAGGTATGGTTTATTGGAGGATAGAGCAGACGTCTTCCCGTTTCTATTTTCATGTTTCTTGTGCAAGAGCTTCTATAAATCTGTTTTGTATTCTGAAACAAAAACAGAAGTCGATGGAGAAACTCAGCAGGTCTGGCAGCATCTTCATGGAGAGAGAAACAGAGTTAACATTTTGAGTCCAGTGACCCTTTTTCAGAACACAAGAGGGAGTGAAGGAGGGTCACAGGACTTGAAATATTAAGTTTGCTTTCTCTCCACATATACTGTCATACCTATAAGTTTCTGCAGCAATATCTGTTTGTCTTTCAGATCTTCAGTACATGGAGTTCTTTGTTTTATTTAATGGATTTATATTCTATAATCATAGCATCATAGAATGTTACATTAGAAGAGGCCATGTGACCCAATGTGTCTGAACAGGCTGCCAAGAGCTATCCGGTTAATCCCATTCTCCAGCCCTATCTCTATAGCCTTCTAAGTTTGTCACTTTCAAATATATCTCCAGCTCTCTTTTGAAACCTCCCATGAAATCTGCCTTCACCACTTTTCCAGGCAGTGCATTCCAAATCCTAACAACTCTCTGAGTAAAGAAGTTTCTCCTCATCTCTCTCCTAGCTCTCTTGCTGACAATCTTGAAGCTGTGACCCTTAGTTACTGACATACCAACTAGTGGGAACAGAAAAATTTTGAACACCTCAACAAGGTCATCCTGCAATCTTCTCCGCTCCAAGGAGAATAAGCTTAATATTTCTAAACTGCCTTTGTATCTAAAATCCCTCATTGTTGTAAATCTCCTTTGCACATTCTCCATGGCTTTAACATTCCTCCTTATATAAGGTGCCCAGAACTAAACACAATGCTTTAAATGTGGTCTGACCAATGATTTGTAGATGTGTGGCATCACTTCCTTGCTTTTATACTCTATGCATTTATTTATAAACCCAAGCATCCTATTAAACCACTTAACACAGTTTCAACTTGCCTGGCCACCTTCAAAGAATTATGCATGTGAACCGTGAAGTCCTTTTGCTCCTGTAAGCCCCTCACAGTTTTACCAGTGATCATGTATTTTCTCTCTGTGTTTCTTCAAACAAAATGCATTACCTTTCATTTGTCTACATTGAAATTTATCTGCCAGGTGTCTGCCCATTTGATCAACTTTCAATGTCTCTCTGAAGTCACTTGGCATCATCCTTACAAATCATTATTATCCCTAGTTTTCTTTTTAAAATTCATTCACAGAATATGGCCATCGCTGGCTAGGCCAGCATTCATCGCCCATCCCTAATTGCCCAGAGGGCAGTTAAGAGTCAACCACATTGCTGTAGATCTGGAGTCACATGTAGGCCAGACCAGGTAAGGATGACAGATTTCCTGCCCTAAAGAACATTAGTGAACCAGATGGGTTTTTCCAACAATTGACAATGGATTCATGGTTGTCATCATCAGACTTTTAATTCCAGATATTTATTGAATTCAGTTTCCATGATCTGCCAATGTGGAATTTGAAGCCAGGTTCCTGGAACATTAGAGGAGTCTCTAGGTTAATAGTTTGGTGAAAATAACACTAGGCCATCATCCCTCAAAACTCCTTCTGGTCAGCTTATCGGATTGAGGAGTGGTTAGAACCCTGTAAGCTTTGATACACAGAAATTGTTTCCTCCATGGGTGGTGATGGGGGTAGTGGACAGTGAAGAAGAACGAATGTAATTTTCAGATTATAGCCATGCCAATCAGGAGAGTAATCAGTGGCACTTTTTCCACACAAATCATGATGGAAACTTGCAATAGTGTCTGCAAAGGTGCCTCTGATATTGGTCATCAATTGGAGCTTTCAAAGCTGAGGTCAATCGTGCTTTACTGAGTAAGGACATCACAGAATAGGAATTCGGGAAGGTAAATTGAGCCAAGATAGAAATTGGCCTTTTTCTAGTGGGGTTACTGAATAAACTCAAGATGCTGAATGGTGTCCTTCTGCTGGTATGAGATAATTCAGCATAGTTTTAATTTTCTTTGCTTGTGTTTACATCTAGTTCGAACTGTGTGATCTGCCTGTGCCCAGATAAAAAGGCAGTCTTTGCGGAAGCCTACCGGGCCCTTAAGGTTGGTACCACACTCTCGCCAAAGATTTGCATGCAGACAGTGCGTAGTCTCTGCTCCATATGTGCGCTTTGTTCATTCTTTCATGGGATGCGGACATCGTTGGCAAGGCCAGCATTTATTGCTGATCCCCGATTGCTCCTTGAGAAGGTTACGGTGAGCTGCCTTCTTGAGCCACTGCTGTGCTTGGGACTGTGAATGAATTGTGATCCGTTTCCAGGTCAGGGTGGTGTGTGACTTTGGGGCGAAGGTCGGAGGGGGGGGTGTAGGTCGAACTTGCAGCTGGTGGGGATTCTGTGATCTGCTGTCCTTGTCCTTCTATATGGTAGAGGATTTGGAAGGTACTGCAGTGATTCCACAATCAAGGGGGAAAGTCGAGCGAGATGATGGGTTCAGTGGCAAAGGGTGTTATGCACAAAAATCCCCTCACAATGTCATTAGCTGCCATATAGATAGTCAGGATGAGAAGCCAAGGCTGATATTTTTTTCAGCTCTTTATCTCCTTACTCTCAGGCAGAACTGACTGTGCACATTGACTCCTTACACCGTGACCCCCTGGTTCTGGACTCCCTGGTCATTGGGAACATTCTTCCTGCGTTTGCCCTGTCTACTCTGGTTAGAATCTTATAGGTTTCCTGAAACCTCCCTCATTTTTCTAAACTCCACTGCATATCATCCTGTCTAATCCAGTCTCTCTTCATGTGTCAGTCCTGCCATTCCAGAAGCCTGTCTGGTAAACCTTTACTGCACTCCCTCCGTAACCAAAAGATCCTTCCTCAGATAAGGAGACCAGAACTGCACACGACACCCACCAGGTCTCACCAGGATCCTGTATAATTGCAGCAAGACGTCCCTGCTCCTGTGCTCAAATTCTCTTTCTATGAAGGCCAACATCCCATTTGCCTTCTTCACCACCTGCTGCTCCTGCATACTTACTTTCAGTGACTGGTATACAACCTGGTGTACCCAGGTGTCCTTGGACTTTGCCCTTTCCTGGACTATTGCCATTCCGATAATAATCTGCTTTCCTGTTTTTGCCACCAAAGTGGAAAGCCTCACATTTATCCACATTATCCTTCATGTGTCATGCATTTGACGACTCACTCAACTTCTCCAAATCACACCGAAGCATCTCTGTATCATCCTCACAGCACACTCACCCACCCATCACACACTCCCAACTTTGTGTCATCAGCAAACTTGGAGAAATGACATTTAGTTCCCTCTCTAAATAAATAATGTATGTGAATATCTGGGGTACAAGCACTGATCTCTGTGGTACCCACTAGACACTGCCTGCAACTCGGGATAAAAACCTATTCGTTCCTACACTTTGTTTCCTGTCTGACAGCCAGTTCTCTATCCATGACTGTACTCTAGCCCCAATCCCATGCTCTCTGTCCAATCCCGTCACTGTTTTCCAAGTCACAAAAATAGAAATTGCAGTCCAAACTCAGCAGGTCTGGCAATATCTGCAAAGAGACAGCAGTGTTAATGTTTCAAGTCTGGTGACTCCTTATCTGAACTATTTTCCAAGATGTCTGCTATTAAACCTAGTTTTCTTTCTGCCTCTTATTTTTAGGTAGTGACATTATATTAGCTACTTTGCAATCTGTAGAAACTGTACCAGAGTCTACAAACATTGAAAGATGACCACTAATGCATTTACTATTTTAAGGGCCACTTCCTTAAGTACTCTGGGATATATATTATCAGGTCCCAGGGAGTTATCAGTATTTATTCCCATCAGTTCAGCTGAGGGGTCACGGTGGAAGGTGGGTCAGGGGTTAGAGGGACATGTAGCTGAGAGCTCAGGGTGAAGGTGGGCCAGGGGTTAGAGGGACATGTAGTTGAGGGGTCAGGGTGGAAGATGGAGTGAAGCCAACATGTCAGGTGAGATAACAAGGTGTAGAGCTGGATGAACACAGCAGGCCAAGCAGCATCAGAGGAGCAGGAAAGCTGACGTTTCGGGCCTAGACCCTTCATCAGAAATGGGGGAGGGGAAGGGGGTTCTGAAATAAATAGGGAGAGAGGGGGATGGGGGTGAGGGACGAGGTGTGGGGACAGGTGTAGCACTTCTTGCGGTTGCAGGGAAAAGTGCCGGGTGTGGTGGGGCTGGAAGGGAGTGTGGAGCGTACAAGGGAGTCACGGAGAGAGTGGTCCCTCCGGAAAGCAGATAAGGGTGGGGAGGGAAAAATGTCTTTGGTGGTGGGGTCGGACTGCAGATGGTGGAAATTTCGGAGGATTTCCGGAGGGACCACTCTCTCCGTGACTCCCTTGTACGCTCCACACTCCCCTCCAGCCCCACCACACCCGGCACTTTTCCCTGCAACCGCAGGAAGTGCTACACCTGTCCCCACACCTCGTCCCTCACCCCCATCCCAGGCCCCAAGAAGACTTTCCACATCAAGCAGATGTTCACCTGCACATCTGCTAATGTGGTATACTGCATCCGCTATACCCGTTGTGGGCTCCTCTCCATCGGGGAAACCAAGCGGAGGCTTGGGGTCTGCTTTGCAGAACACCTACGCTCGGATCGCAATAAACAACTGCACCTCCCACTCGCGAACCATTTCAACTCCCCCTCCCACTCCTCAGACGACATGTCCATCCTGGGCCTCCTGCAGTGCCACAACGATGCCACCCGAAGGTTGCAGGAACAGCAACTCATATTCCGCTTGGGAACCCTGCAGCCCAATGGTATCAATGTGGACTTCACAAGCTTCAAAATCTCCCCTCCCCCTACCGCATCCCAAAACCAGCCCAGCTCGTCCCCGCTTCCCTAACCTGTCCTTCCTCCCACCTATCCCCTCCTCCCACCTCAAGCCGCACCCCCATCTCCTACCTACTAACCTCATCCCACCCCCTTGACCTGTCCATTGTCCCTGGACTGACCTATCTCCTCCCTACCTCCCCACCTACACTCACCTTTACTGGCTCCATCCCCGCCTCTTTGACCTGTCTGTTTCCTCTCCACCTATCTTCTCCTCTATCCATCTTCTATCTGCCTCCCCCTCTCTCCCTATTTATTTCAGAACCCCCTTCCCCTCCCCCATTTCTGATGAAGGGTCTAGGCCCGAAACGTCAGCTTTCCTGCTCCTCTGATGCTGCTTGGCCTGCTGTGTTCATCCAGCTCTACACCTTGTTATCTCAGATTCTCCAGCATCTGCAGTTCCTACTATCTCTCATGTCAGGTGAGTTAATGAGTGCTCAGGGTAGTTTTAGGGGTCAGTTTGGGAGGTTGTCAGATTGTGTTGGTGGAGGGGATGCAGTTTCAGGCCTGGTGGATCTGTTGTTCAGGGAATTGGGGAATGTTGGGTCAGGTCTGGGTGTTTTCAAGGGTTTGAGGTGTGCAGTTCAGGTGTGTTCAGTAGGGAGTTGGGTCTAAGTCTAACAGTTACCAAGGAGTTCAAGCATGCTTTTAATTCTCAAACTTTCACTGGACGTCTATTATGCTTAAGTGAGTCAGAACCCTCTGAAAGCATCCTCCCTCGTGGTTCACTGGTTAGGATTCAATGTTCTCACTGCCATGGCTCAAGTTCAAACCCTGCTCAGAGAAGAGCTTTGTGTTTGGGAGGAAAGTGGGAACAAGGTAATGAATTGGATAACCAGCCATGATCATATTGAATGGTGGAACAGGCTCAAAGGGCTGAATGGCCTACTGTTGCTCCAATTTTCGATGTTTCATAGAATCGCCTACCCTCAGGAACCTTTCACATGGTTCCAGATCTTGGGTAATCAGGCAAAAGAAATTTTACTTTCCCAGTCATGTGAGATTTCTACATGATCCTGATACGTAACTCCAATTAAACCTTCATAACCAGCTCGCTCTATCTCCCGGCCACAATTTCTGTTGGGCCTCTTGTTTGCCTTCTCTTTTCAGGGTAAGGGAATCCAGCCTCCTTATTGCTCCAAAATTAGGCCACTTGTCCCAACACAGCCACAGCAGTGCTCATTTTTCACACAAGCCTCCTTTTAAACCCCGTGTTAACAGAAATTTCCAATCAGGGAGTATGCATCACCACAATCTTAGAGCTCCATCTCTAATTGTGGGTGCACCTACACTACACAGACTGCAACTTTTCAAGAAAGCAGCAAGGATCAATAAATAACGGCCTTGACAGCAACACCACATGGAAATATTTATTTTAAAAAAAAACAAATATTAAAATAGTATATACAAAGTAAATGAAAATGAATCCATTTTTATTCCAAGTGGCTCCTCAAAATTATAATTGAGGAAAGCAAAGATTTCATTTCTCAGGTTTATCTTCTTTGTTACAGGAAGGTGGAGAGATGTATTTCAGTGACATGTATGCGAGTGAGCCTGTGGATGAAAAACTGAAGGAGGATTCAGTGCTTTGGGGTAATGGTTTTCAACTTCTCACAAGAGCACTTTGCACTTTACAGGCAGGGGAAACAAATTCTGAAAATGTAGCCAAGTGGTTGACCGGTTGCATCACACCTGGAACATCCATTTCACATCTACGTTTAAAACAAGAAGAAAGTTAGGGTCTATGCTACCTTCTTAAAATATTTTGAGAGGGTCTAGCCTGGCCCATAACAGATTGGGCTGTCTTGTCAGGATCATTCTATAATTCCAATTTGGGGTTAGGGTTTTTGGACTCAAAGGTGGTGCATAGTAGGTGTTGGTGTCTTTTGTTTCGGGTGTTGAATTCGGTTGGTTTAAATGACGTGCTTTGTGTAGTAAGGCTTTTTTTGAAGAGAGGTTGTAAAGTGACTTCGGGGGCTTTACAAAAAATGAGCAAGGCAAAGCTGTCGCAATTGGCAGACAAGCTGGAGTTGAGTTTGCCTTTGTCTGTGAGAAAGGGAGAGGTAATTACAGCGATAGTTCGATGTTTAAATTTGCTGGAAATGCCTTCGGAATCTTTGGAAGTGACTAGAATTGAATTGTAGATGAAGCACCTTGAACACAAAAAGGAACTGAAACAGTCTGAATTACGATTAAAAGCAGAGGAAAGAGAAAAGGAAAGAATAGCCTTAGCAGAACAAAAAGAAAAGGAGAGCAAAGTCCTAGCAGAAGAAAGGGAGTAAGAGAGAGAAGAAAGGCAGAAAGAGAGAGTTTGAACTTCTGAAGTTGGCAATTAGAGAGGAAAGCCGACTTAAAAGGGCAGATGTGAAGGTAGAGGGTAGGCTTAATGAGGAGGATAGTGATGACGAACAAACCCACAGTAGCCAAAGGCTGGCAGGGTTCTGTTTAAATATTTCCAAGCATTACCTAAATTTTATGAGAAGGATGTAGAAGCCTACGGACAATGTTTCAGGAATCTAAGGAGGGACCCTGGTCAAACATACATTGCGTTTGAAAGCATCAAACAAAGTGTGAGGGATAGAAATTGTGGAAAAGAGAAATCCTCAGGTGGTATGGGAAAAGGAAATCTGATTGAAGATAATAAAGATGATTTACCACAAGGTAAAAAGGAAACCCCTGAGGGGGAAAGACAAGTTAAAAAGTTTGGGTGTTTTCATTGCAATAAAGTAGGCCCCATGAATTCGCAGTGTTGGTGGTTTAGAAAAAGCACTGGGAAGACAGATGTAGGAGAACACGATAAGCAAGTGAGTTTTGTTGAAATGGTAAAGGAAAACACAGTGGAGGCTATAAAGCTGCACCAGAATATACAACCTGGTCAGGGGTTAGGTGAGAAGGAAGCGCCAGATCTTCTTAAACCATTTACTTGCGAAGATAAGGTTTACTCACAGAGGCCAGGACTAACAGGTCAAGAAGTTACAGTATTAAGAGATACAGGATCATGTCAGACTTTGATGTTAAGAGATGAAGAGATATGTAATTCAGAAGGACTATTGCCAGAAAAAGTGCTAGTACGTGGAATTCATGGTGAGACAGGAAGTGCTCCATTATGTAAAGTGAGGTTGGAGTGTCCCATGAAAAGTGGAGAAGTGGCGGTAGGAGTACTGGAGAAACTCTCAGTTCCAGGAATACAATTTGTCCTTGTAATGATATAGCTGGATGAAAAGTGGGAGTGCTGCCTACTGTGGTTGAAAATCCAGTGGAATGTTAAGTAACTGAGGTATTACAGTATATCCTGGGATTTTTGCTCACTGTGAGATTACAAGGTCACAAAGCTACAGGTTGAAATAGGAGGATAAATCAAAGAAAACAGATAAGGAACTTGAAATAGAATTATCAGAGTCCATGTTTGATCAAATGGTTGAGATAAAACAAGAACAAGTGGAGGACAAAGTGGATATTTTTAGTAATTTCAGAGAAATTAACTGAGTTACAACAGAAAGATGAAAAACTGAAGCAATTGTATTAAAAAGCGTACATAGAGGAAGATTCTGCGTATATCCCAGAATGTTGCTATCTTAAAAATGATGTCTTGATGAGGAAAGGGAAACCATCACATATTCAGGTGGATGAGGAATGGGCAGAAGTTCATCAAGTTGTATTACTGGTGGGTTACTGAAAGGTGGTGTCGCGGGTAGCACATGAGTTACCAAAAGGAGGTCATTTAGGAATAAGTAAAGCTCAAACCAAAATACAAAAACCATTTTTACTGGCCTGGACTGCATAGGGATGTAGGTGAATTTTGCCGGACATGTCAGGTAGAATACATAGAATAGAATCCATACATAGAATCAATACAGTGTGCAAACAGGCCCTTCGGTCCAACAAGTCCACACCGACCCTTGGAGCATCCCACCCAGACCCAATACCTTATAACCCACCTAATCTACACATCCCTGAACACTATGGGCAATTTAGCATGGCCAATCCACCTAACCTGCACATCTTTGGACTGTGGGAGGAAACCGGAGTATCCAGAGGAAACCCACACAGACACGGGGAGAATGTGCAAACTCCACACAGACAGTCACCCGAGGGTGGAATTGAACCTGGGTCCCTGGCGTGTGAGGCAGCAGTGCTAACCTCAGTTGGAAAACCTCAAGCAGTAATAAAACCAGCACCTTTAATACCCATTCCCACATTTGAGAAACCTTTTACAGGGATCTTAATTGATTGCGTAGGACCCCTACCTAAAACAAAAAGTAGGAATCAGTATTTGTTGACAATAATGGATCTGTCCACTGGATTTCCAGAAGCCATTCCATTATGCAATATCACAGCTATTTAAATTTTTCACTGGATACAAACGGCACATAGAGATACAGTCACATCAAGGGTCAAATTTTACATCAAAATTATTCAGAGAAGTTATGGATGGCTTCGGAATAAAACAATTCAAATCCATTGCATTCCATTCAGAATCGCAGGGAGCGTTAGAAAGGTGGCATCAAACTTTAAAGACCATGTTGAGGGCTTATAATCAGGATTACCCAGATAATTGGGATAAAGGAATTCCATTCCACCAAATTCATTTCATTTGAATTAGTTTTTGGGCATGAGGTGAGAGGACCATTGCAATTACTTCAGGAGAAATTGGCGAGGCAGAGTTCAGAGGCCACATATTTGGACTATGTGTCAAATTTTAGGGAACAATTGAATAGACCGGGTGAATTGGCTAGACAGCATTTAAAAGTAGCACAGCATGTGATGAAACAGGAAGCAGACAACAAACCAAACATTTGCAATTTTGCTAATGGAGATAAAGTGTTAGTATTACTTCCAATGATAGGTGAACCTTCAAAATCAAGGTTTAGTTGACCTTATCAAATCAAAAGGAGATTCAGTGAGGTGAATTATTTGATAAGGACTCCAGATAGAAAGAAATCGCACAGAGTGTGCCATGTGAATATTCTCAAAAGGTATTTGATAGGGAAAGAAAGCAAAAGGAGAATATGTTACTGGTTACAACACAGAGTGAAGAACAAGTTCAGAGGATTCTGAGTTGGACATTCCTCAAATTAGTTGGACAATGAGGAAGTTCTCAAAAATTGAGATAAATTATTGCGTTACCCTCCAGATGAAAACAGACATGACCTGAAAGAGTTATTACTATCACATGGGGAGATATGTGGAAATAAGCTGGGAAGTACTAATTTAATTATGCATGATGTAAGTCATAGGAAATGTTGTTCCAATTAAGTAACATCCATATAGACTTAACCCTCTAAAATTAGCCCAGGTTCAAAAAGAGATTGAACACATGCTCAAGGACAACATAATCGAAGTGAGTTGCAGTGGCTGGAGGTCACCCATAGTAATGGTGCCAAAACCAGATGGTACCCAACAATTTTGTGTGGACTTTCGCAAAGTCAATGCAGTTACAAAGTCTGATTCATATCCAGTTCCATGTATAGAAGACTGTATTGAGAAGGTGAGGCAAGTACCTTATATTTCTAAATTGGACTTACTCACAGGATACTGGCAGGTACCTTTATTAAAAAGAGCTTTCGTGACACCAAATGGACTATATCAATGTAAAGTCATGCCATTTGGTATAAAAAAATGCTAGTCACATTTCAAAGACTTGCCAAAAAAGTCATTTGTGGATTAGCCAGTTGTATGGTATACTTTGAAGACCTGGTGATTTTTAGTCTTTTTTAAAAATTCATTAACAGGATGATGGCATCACTGGTGGGGCAGCATTTATTGTCCATCCCTAATTGCCCAGAGGGCAATTCAAAGTCAACCACATTGCTGTGGGTCTGGAGTCAAATGTAGGCCAAACTAGGTAAGGATGGCAGTTTCTTTCCCTAAAAGACACTAGTGAACCAGATGGGTTTTTCCAACAATGGATTCAAAGTCATCATTAGGTTCTTAATTCCAGATACTTAAGTTGAATTCACATTCCACCATCTGCTATGGCAGGATTCAAACACAGGTCCCCAGAATGTACGTGGGTCTTTGAATTAACAGTCCAGTGATAATACCACTCGGCTATCGCCTCCCCACCAGGTCACCCATAAAAGGAACATTTGCAGCATCAATCGGAATTGTTCGATCAACTTCAGGAGCGGGCTTTGTGATAAACATGGCTAAGAGTGAATTCAAGAAGACATGTCCATCCTAGGCCTCCTGCAGTGCCACAACGATGCCACCCAAAGGTTGCAGGAACAGCAACTCATATTCCGCTTGGGAACCCTGCAGCCCAATGGTATCAATGTGGATTTCACAAGCTTCAAAATCTCCCCTCCCCCTACCGCATCCCAAAACCAGTCCAGCTCGTCCCCGCCTCCCTAACCTGTTCTTCCTCCCACCTATCCCCTCCTCCCACCTCAAGCCGCACCCCCATCTCCTACCTACTAACCTCATCCTGCCCCCTTGACCTGTCCGTCCTCCCTGGACTGACCTATTCCCTCCCTAACTCCCCACCTACACTCACCTTTACTGGCTCCATCCCCGCCTCTTCGACCTGTTTGTTTCCTCTCCACCTTTCCTCTCCTCTATCCATCTTCTATCCACCTCCCACTCTTTCCCTATTTATTTCAGAACCCCCTTCCCCTCCCCCTTTTCTATTGAAGGGTCGAGGCCCGAAACGTCAGCCTTTCTGCTCCTATGATGCTGCTTGGCCTGCTGTGTTCATCCAGCTCTGCACCTTGTTGTCTCCGAAATCCCTCTGGTTATTGCTCCCTCCTGGATTGGAATCCTGCCTGCAAAAATCTGGGTTTGAATTTATCTTTTTGCCAACGGGTGTGTTTTTGGGATGTCACGATATTGGAACAGTTAACTAGTTAAGTTACTGTATTGAGTGTTCCGTTAAGTTTTCCAACATTTAAGTTATTTTAAATTCCACTTTCTTTTGATTGTGTTTCAGATGTAGTGTTGAAATAAATTCTGTTTTGCTTAGAGCCGAGTGGATGACAAGTTGCATCACACCTGGAACACCCACTTCATATCTACCTTTAAAACAAGAAAAAGCTAGGGTCTGTTACCTTCTTAAAATATTTTGAGGGGGCCTGGTCTGGTCCATAACACTCCCAACTTCCCAATGGTGGGTCATTTGATCGGTAACTGCGTGCCAGTAAATGAGAGACCCTGGCTGCCAACAAAATTTTACTGGCTGGTATTTGGGAAGTACTGCAGACCTGTATGACTCCCATTAAGTTCCTGAGCGACCAGTAAATCATGAGGCAGGATTGCTATCACCCTTTCCTCCCTACACCAAATGCAAGACACTTTTTCCATTGTCAGATATTGGGGACACCTGCCTGATTATCCTGGCCCTCTAACTCCACTGGTCACCTATAAATTACACAGTCTGTTTCAATATTGAAAATTAATTTGATTCAAAATTACCTGAGTTCCCTTTCAGTCTACTCCTTTGCTCTGTTAGCTCAATCCTTGTCTCTCGCAGGTTAAACAGTTTCACTGTCAGTCCTACTGTTCAGTAAACTCCCACATGATCAGTTCTCACTTCCACTGATTTGTATTGTAGTAACTTGTCAAATTGAAGGCTGACTGAAGAATTGTCATGAATGGGATGCTCTCATTCTAGAAATTGTGGCCCAAATCCCTGAGGAGCAGGAGGTTGGCTGACTGCTCTCAAGGCTTTTATCTTGTTGGCAGGGGAGGGGCTGGCAGGTGCTCTCTATTGGAAGGATCTGATCAGTCTGGTGAAGGAGCTTGGATTCAGCACACCGTATCTTGTTTCTGCAAGTCACATTGAAATCCAAAAAGCTGAACTTCTCCGGAAGACTGGTAAGTGTTTTAATTGTGCTTTTTATATTATTACACTCTAAAGAACTAACTGCCAGTGTATCAATACTCTGTGTAACACTGTGTCCTCTGTTACTCTCTGTAACGCTGTCAGTCCTTAATTATGCCCTGTAATGCTGTCAGTTCTTTATTACTCTCTGTTACACTGCTGGGTGTCTATTGCTCTCTGTAATGCTGTCAGTCCTCTGTTACCCTCAGGCCCTCTATTATCCAATGTAATTCTATCAGTCCTCTAATACTCTCTGTAACATCGCTGGACGTCTAATATTCTCTGTAATACTGTCAGCAGTTAATTACATTTTATAACATTGCTGGACTTTTACTACTCTCTGTAACCTTACCAACTTTCTATTATGCTTTCTAGTACTATCAGTCCTTTACTACTCTCTGTAGCACTACCAGGCCTCTATTACAATCCGTAATATTGTCAGTCCTCCATTACTCACTGCAATACAGTCAGTCCTCTATTACTCTCTGTGATACTCAGCACTCTATCACTCTTTGTAACACTGTTAGCTCTCTATTGCTCTCTTACTCACTGTAGGTCTGCTGTTACTCTCTGTAGATTCATAGAGATCCACAGCATGGAAACAGGCCCTTTGGCCCAACTTGTCCATGCCACCCAGTTTTCACAATTAATCTAGTCCCATTTGCCTACATTTGGTTCATATCCCTCAATTCCTGTCCCATCCATATACCTGTCTAAATGTTTCTTAAATGACAAAATTGCACTTGCCTCCATCACTGCCTCTAGCAGCCCATTCCAGACATTCACTGCCCTCTGTGTGAAAAAATTGCCCCTCTGGACCCTTTTGTATCTCTCACGTTAAACCCATGCCCTCTAGTTTTGGAAACCCCTACCATGGGGAAAAGCTGTTGGCTAGATAACGAGGAACAATCTGGATGATTTAATCTTCTTTTGCCAAGGATCACCTAGGCCAAAGAAGTTTCCATACAGCTGTCCTGTTTGTGAATTGCTGAAAAAAGGCCCATTTTGTTGAAGCTTTTCATCTTGCACTCATCAGGGCATTTTGTCTATGACTCTCATGATTTTATAGACCTCTATAAAGTCACCGCTCAATCTACTATGCTCCATGGAAAAAAGTTCCAAACTATCCAGCCTCTCCTTATAATTCAAACCTTCCAGTCAAAGTAGCATCCTAGTAAACCTTTTCTGCACTGTTTCATTTTAATAATTTCTAGAGTAGGACGACCAGCACTGCATGCAGTACTCCAAATGCGGCCTAACCAATGTCTCGTACAGCTGCAATAAGACATCCCAACTCCTAAACTCATTGCTTTGACTGATGAAAGCAAGCATGCCAAAAGCCACCTTCACCACCCTGTCTACCTGTGTATCCATTGTCAAGGAGTGTCACTCCACTACAACATTGTCACTTCTCCCTTACTCCCTGCTGCTCACTGCCAGCCTTCTATTACTGTCCATAACACCATCAATTCACTTTTATTCTCTGTTACTCATTGCCAGCTGTCTATTACTTTCTCACACGTTACATCCTCTTGCGTTTTGACCCTGTCTGGTCATTTTCTTCCTCAGGAGATGTGAAGTATGCATCTGGAACATATCGATTTTTCAAACTCCCTTTTTGTGGGACTGATGAGAGAGCTTTGGTCACTTATAAAGGGACAGTGACTGACCACCAGGAGAAGCTGACATTTGACTCCGTTCACACTTTCGAAGTAAGCGAGCTTAAGTAAAGCCATAGCCTCATATGCTGTATAGTTGGTTTTCACTCTTTCCACTCATATTATCTAGGAATGCATCAAAGTTTGTAGCATACATTGAAATAGATTGTTTAATTAAGATGTGTGTGAGAGATTAATTTTCCTTATTCATATGATAAAGATCAGAAAGTTATTCCAGCTCCACCTCTTTCATCCACTTTCCAGTGAATATTGTCCCAAAGATCTCTAGATGTGGGGTAGGGGGAATAGAGTTGAATCCAAATGGGGAGGGATTTCTGGTTCTTGGGGAAGGAAAGGGGTGTCTGGTCCTGGGAGTGGAGGTGAGGATCAGGGGAGAATGGTGTGTTTAAGTGGCTGAACTGGGTAAGGAGTCTGGAGGAGGAGTAGTTGAATCTGTGAATGGTAAGTTGAGAGGTCAGTTTAATAGTTAGTCAGGATTAGCCCAGGTTTTTAATACTCTTACATTTTCGGAGTAATGATTTATTTTACAGCAGCAGAGTCCTCAGAAATCTCTGATTTAAAGATACGTTTGGAAGTTCCAGGCATAGGGAAATTGCCGGGTGAAGCCTTCTAGTTCCCAGGTGGTTCCCCCAGAACTTGCTAAGTCAGGCATTCTGCATTGTCCCTATGCACAATTGCCATCCATGCTGTAGAAACAATGAGGCGGTAGTTACAAAATCTGAGCCACTAAATGACATGGAAATGAGGAACGTAGACCATTATGAAAGAGAATGTTGCATGTGCAGGGATGGGTTGACAAATTAATCATCTATCTTTCAAATTTACTTGTAGCTGTTTAGTTTTAATTGCCTCTTTGGTTTCTTACAGAAGGACAAAACAGTGGCTGTGGATGGAGAGCTGGCCTTGGTGCTGAAGATCTCACGTTTCGCACCTCATTTCATTGTCCAACCTGCTGAGTGCAAGGTACCAGTAAAAGATGGAGCCCAGCAGGTAAGAGCATACTTTCAGTCCTGAACTCTGGTATTCATTTTTAGAAACTCATAGTTCCAAAAGTAGCCTCAAAGGTTGAGCCATGTAAGACTGAGATTCGATCTTGGTGCGTGCTAATTTGGCAGCAGTTCTGCCTGTTACACATCACATTCCATGTCTCAAATCACTGATGAACTTGTCCTGAAATGTTAATGTATGAACAAAGTATACTTGAATGAATCAGTGCTACCTGCTGCCCCATCCCCTGACAACTTGATCCATGGATTGAGGGTATACCACTTGCTCAGATAAATTTGATCTGGGAGTCAAATGGGAAATTTGGAAGTGGAAGACATCAGCAAGGGGATAGCGGGGCAGACATCTTCCCACCACCATGGGTTGTTCTCAGGAGTGAAACCTCAGCTACACAGCCATTTCATTGGATGTGACTGCTATTTAACCCAAACAAATCACCAGTTACAGGCCATCTCTCATTACTGCTCTTCTTTCTCTGAGATTGGGAAAAGTCCATCTCAGCATCACCAACTCCCACCCTTGGGGGTGTTCTGTGCCCTAGCAGTACAGCGCCACTGCTGGAGGTTGCCTTACACCCTGGTTGGCAGGTCCTGCCTGCCTTACCCTGGTGTGGTAAATGAAACAGAGGCGCCCACCTTTTCAGCAGCAGGAACCTCTATTGATTGCACTGCCAAGGCTCCCAAGCAGCCCACACTTTCATTGGACCAGCAGCTTGGAGAAGCAAGTGAGCATCACCAACTGAACAGTAGTCCTGGTAATGGGTGCCTAATTATTCACCACGAGTAAAATGTTGACAAGAGATTTTCATTTAGTATAGCAAAGGAGAAGGCATTTGACAAAGTATCACATCAAAGATTATTTCATAAACTAAGAGCTTATGATATTGGTGGTAACAGACTCGCACGGATAAACATTTGGCTGTCAGGCAGTAAACAGATAGTATGCATAAATGGGTCTTTGTCAGGTTTGCAGGATGTGACAAGTCATGGGTGGGGTACAAGGATGTGTGCTGGGCCTTCAAATTTTTACAACTTATATCAATGACTCAGGTGAGGAGACCTAAGGCATAGTGGCTAAATTTTCAGATATCTCAAAGATTTGTGGAAAGTATGTTGTGAGAATGTTATAACAAGGATGCAGACTCAAATAGATAGGTGAAGTGATTGGGCAAGAACCTAACAAATGGAGTATAATGTAGAAAAATGTGAAATTGATCATATTGGTAGGGAGAGTAAAAATGAGGCAGTGTATCATTTAAACAATGAATGACTGCAATCTTCTGAAGGGTGTAGATATTCTACCTCATGAGTCCCAAATAGTTAATATGCAGAAGAGCAAGTGATTAAGAAGGCTAATGGAACACTTTCCTTTATCATGAGAGGAGCTGTGTTTAAATAGTTTTGTTGTGCTTCAGCTATACAGAAATTGGTGAGACCACATCTTGAATAGTGTGTGCAGTTTTTGTCTCCTTATTTATGGAAGAATGTAAATGCATTGGAGGTAGTTCAGAGGAGGTTTACTAGTAAATGATTTAGACAAGAACAAAGAGGCTATAGTTAGTAGGTTTGCGGATGAGATCAAAATTGGTGGTATAGTGAACAGTGAGGAAGGTTATCTAAGATTACAAAGGGATCTTGATCAATTGGATCATTGCCCTGAAGAGTAGCAGACGGAGGTTAATTTGGATAATTATGAAGTATTTCATTTTGGGAAAACAAACAAGGGCAGGACTTACACAATTAAAAGTAGGGCTTGAGATAGTGCTGTCGAACAGAAAGACAAAGGAGTTCAAGTACATAATTCTTTGAAGTTTGCATCACATTTGGACAGGGTGGTTAAGAAAGCATTTAGCATGCTTGCCTTCATTGCTCAGACCTTTGGGTATAGCAGTTGGGAAGTATAGCATGTTGAGGTTGTACAGGATGAAGGTGAGGCCTCTTCTGGAGTACTGTGTCCAGTTCTTGGTTACCCTGCTATAGGAAGGATATTATTAAATTGGAGTGAGTTCAGAAAAGATTTACCAGGATGTTACCTGGAATGGAAGGTTTGAGTTTTAACAGGAGGCTGGATAGGCTGGAATTTTTTTTCACTGGAGTGTAGGAGTTTGAGGGGAGACCGCATAGAGGTTTTTTTTAAAAAAACGTTAGGGGTATGGATAAGGTGAATGGCGGGCATCTAATGCCTAGAATAGTTGATTTCAAGACTAGGCGGCATATCTTTAAGTTGAGAGGAGTTAGATTTAAAAGGGATATGAGGGGCAACGTTCTTACACAGAGAGTGGAATAAACTTCCAGAGGAAGTGGTGGATGCCAATTCCATTGTTTAAAAGACATTTGGATAAGTAGATGAATAGGAAAAGTTTAGAGGGATTTGGGCCAAGCACAGGCAGGTGGGACTAGTTTCGTTTGGGATTATGGTCAGCATTGACTAGTTTGACGTGCTGTATGACTTTATGACTCTATGATACCTGTAATGACCTCTTATGATGGAAAGAGTGGGCAGGCTGGGCTTGTTTCCTCGTTTAGAAGAGTTGAAGTTTAGAAGAGTGAGGGGTGATTTGATTGAACCTTACAAGATCCTAATCAATCTTTACAAGGTAGACATGGAAAGGATGTCTTCTGTTTTGAGTGAGTCCAGAATTAGTTGACATTATTTGAAAATTAAGAGATGAGGGATTTTTTTTTTCTGTTGGAGGAATGTATGACTTTGGAACCCTCTGGCTCACAAGTGATGAGGATAGAGCCATTGAATATTATTAAACCAGTGATAAATAGATTCTTGCTAGACAAGTGAGTCAAAGTTATTGGGATTAGATGAGAATGTGGAATTTGGAAGACAAGCAGATCAGCTGTGATCTTACTGAATCTTATTGAAGGGTCAAACAGTCTGCTTCTACTCCTAATATGTACATCCCATGCCCCCTTCTGTGGTTTAAAGCAAAAATGGCCTACGAAATGAAAATAGTGTTTGATCAATAGTATTTTAGTCATTTGTTACAGTAAGGGGGAGGCAATGGCCTAGTGGTATTATCATTGGACTGTTAATCCACAGACCCAGATAATATTCTGGGGACCTGGGTTCGAAACCCACCATGGCAGATGGTGGAATCAGAATTCAATAAAATATCTGGAATTAAGAACCAAATGATGACCATGAATCCATTGTCAATTGTCGCAAAAACCCATCTGGTTCACTATCGTCCTTTAGGGAAGGAAACTGCCATCCTTACCTGGTCTGGCCTACATGTGACTCCAAACCCACAGCAATATGGTTGACTCTTAACTGCCCTCTGGGCAATTAGGGATGGGCAATAAATGCTGCCTAACCAGCAACACCCTCATCCCATGAATGAATTTTTAAAAATGTACTACAATGTCCAATATTGAAGTTTCATTCTTTCTGAAAGTTTGAATTTCTTTTTAAATATTGTGTCCCTGTGGAGGTTGTAAGAATGTATTAATTTCAAAGAGCTTGTTCTTGGATCACACGAGCTTACAAAACCCTTCACTATTTTAGCTTCCCCGATTAAATGATTTCCTCCAGTTGTTAAGACTTTTATTTGTATGTAACACAGTATTGTCCCTGTAAGTGAATCAGCAGCAGCATCATGCAGTGAGAGTATAGAAACACTGATGAGAAAATTTGAGGATTTACACCCAGGGACTGGAAGTGAGTCATATTGTTAGAATAGCGTAGAAGAATCTCAAAGTTGCAGTTAAAACATTGACCTGGAAGTTCTCAATCTTGCTGATTGATGACAAAACGTGGGAGGGTGTTTTATCCACGAGCAATTGATGTCTTTCTCAGAACAGAATTCATTATTACCAGTGTTTTTCTTTTCACACAGTCTCTAACAAACTCATTTCCTCCTTCTCTGTCTCTCTAGTATTGCCACCTGAATCCCTTCCAGTTGGCTGATAAACTGGGATCATCCATTCAGAAATGCTCCAAGACTCAAAAAGATGGTCCTTGTGAAGATCAAACTGAAGCGACAAGGAAATGTGTAGAAACAAAAAGCTAACTATACATGGAATATGAACTGAAGACATCTCACTGCTGCAGATTCAGCAAGCATGAATAAAAACAGACAGAAGAAAACAAAGTTGCCATTATTTCATTGCTTCCTGTTTTAAGACTTCAACTTTGTGACCTGAGATAGTAGGAACTGCCGATGCTGGAGAATCTGAGATAACAAGGTGTGGAGCTGGATGAACACAGCAGGCCAAGCAGCATCAGAGGAGCAGGAAAGCTGACGTTTCGGGTCTGGACCCTTCTTCAGAAATGGGGAAGGGGAAGGGGAAGTGTTAAAAGCAAATTGGAGAAATATATATTCACCAAGAACCGAAAGATATTCAGAAATTTTGCTGCTGCTGAGAATATGAATCATCAACTTAATAACCGGGGTCGCACCTTAAACCTAACTCCTTATGGACGTTTCAAACTGTATACACTTGAATTTCCTTCTTCATACTAGACACTGTCTCTTTTGAAATGTTATATCTATGTTTGCGTGTGTGCTTGATGTCTCATTTTACTTTTCTTCTCAGGATCAGTAATTAATAAAATTCTCCTTTCTTTCACTGAAGGAAACCTGTTGATTGGCTCCTTACTTTTGACTAGTATTACATTTTAATTGAAATAAATGTGTGCTAAAAAGAATTAAAAATTTATTTTGCAGCCATTCATCCATCCTTCCCTGGTCATAAATAATAATATAAACACATAAAACTGCAGACACTGGAAATCTGAAACAAAAACAGAGTCCTGGAGAAACACAGTAAATTTGTGCTAATGATGGAGTGCAGAGAAGTGAATACACTACACAAAGACAGACCACAGACATGGAGTGGGAGTGATAGAGACAGAGAGAGGGACAGAGACATAAAGGGAGAGAGTGAGAGAAAGGGATAGGCAAACAAAGAGTTGAGCATAGAGATATCCAATGATAAGCCAGGAGGGAGATAAATGCTAAGTAGAGTGATAATGTGACGTATGGATTGTTGAAAATGTGTTGGCTATGTAGACAGAAACGCGTATAACGCAGGGCCTAGGGGTAAAGGGGGAGGGTAAGCAACATGGAGTGTGGTGACCACATTCTGAAATTGTTAAACTCCATGTTGAGTCCTGAAAGCTACCAGGTACCTAGGCGAAAGATGAGGTGTTGTTCTTCCAGCTTGTCCTGAACTTTGCTGGAGCACTGCAGCAGGCCTAAGACAGAAATATTGCCATGGGAACATGGTGATATGTTGAAGTGACAGAAAGCTGGAAGCTGGGGTCAATTTTATCAGCCGAGCATAGTTGTTTGACAAAGCAGTCACCCCAGGCTACTTTTTGTCTCACCAATGTTCACATAGTGAACAGTGAATACAGTACACTAGATTGGACAAAGTGCAGGTAAATAGCTGCTTCACCTGGAAGGTGTGTCTGGAGCCTTGGTTAGTGAAGAGGGAATAAATAGGCAGGTGTTACACCTTCTGCAAAGGCCTGAGAAGGCACCATGAAGGTGTGGACCAGGGTATCCCGGAGGGAACAGTCCCTGTAGAATGCTGACATGGAAGGGGAATGTGTGTCTGCTGGTGCCATTCTGTTGGAAGTGGAGTAAATGGTAGATTCTTTGGATACGGAGGCTGGTGGAGTGGAAAGTGAGGATTATTGTTGCAGGAGGGGACTGAAGGGGTGACAAATGCAGAAATGGAACAGACATGGCCAACGGCCCTGTCAACCATGGTGCCAGGATATTCTTAGTGGTGGAAAAAGGCGAACATTTCTGAGGGTCATGTGCAAACGGTAACATAATCAGAACAAATGCAATGAAGATGCAGAAACTGGGAGAATGGAATAGAGTACTCACAGGAAGTAGGGTGTGAGGATATTTGGTCGAATTAACCTTGGGAGTCAGTAGATTTTTAATGGATATTGGTGGCCAGCTTATTCCTAGAAATAGAAACAGAGCTGTTGAGAAAGGGAAGGGAGGAGTCAGTGATGGACTGCGAAAAGGCGAAGGTGTGGTCATAACAATGTTTGTTTTGTTCTTGTTGGGGTGAGGTTACACTGGACCTCCTTCAGTTGTTGTCATGTGTTTATAAAAGGTAAAAATTAGAGTCAGGAGCTAACCTGTATAGTAAAACATTATGTAAAGTAACTATAGGTCCACAGTGTTTTAAGGGAGGGAGTTCTAGGATTTTGACCCAGTGATTCATTTCCATACCAGGATGATGAGTGGCTTGAAGGGGAACTCTCATTATTCCCATCCCCAAATAATGCCCAACCCCAGCTCCTCCCTCAATCAAAAGACTCTCCCACTCTCCCCAGCTAATCCCCATTTCCCACCCCACCTCTTTCCCAGAAGCTATGCCTCCCCAGGTAGTGCCCCTCAGCAGCCCCTCAAAACACAGCCCCTCTCCTAGTAGTCTTCAAACACCTTGCACTTCCACGTCCCCATCCCCTCTCTCAGCCCCACCCACTTTCTCCACCACCAGCCTCTCCCACCATCTCTCCTCCCACAGCCTTTCCTACCTCTCTCCTCCACCACCCCTCCTCCACTCTCCAACCCAACCTCACCCATGCTCTCCACCCACAGCAACCCCCATCTCTGCCCCCCCTTGCCCCTACCATCTCTACACCACCGTCTCACAGTGTCTACACTCTCTGCCCCTCCCCATGTACACCTCCAACCTCCTCTCCCTATCTCCACTTCCAACTCCAACCCCAACCCCTGCCTCCACCTTCAGCCCCAACCCCCTGTCTCCACATCCAATGCCTCCCCTAACTCCAAACCCACCCCTTTCTAACCATTCCCCTCTCAACACCAGCCCCTCACCCTCATTCTGCCCCCAGCTGCTCCACCTTCTTCTCCTTCAGCCCCTTCTCTTAACGCAGCCCCTTCCCCGTCACTGTGCCCCAGTACCAACCCCTCCCCCACTCACACCCGCCATCTTATCCACCCGCCCCACAACCTCCACCACCGTTGCTCTGCCCCTTCAGACCCTGCACATACCACACCTTTTCGTTGCCCCCATCTCTCCTCTACATACATCCCCACTCCACAAACAGCCCCTCCCCTCACCACACCACCCCCCCCAAATTGTCCCCTGACCACATTCTTATTCCCTACACACCACCTTCCCACATCCGCATCCACCCCTCCCCATTCCCACCCACTTATCCCCACCCTGGCCACACACACTCGCCACATCGAGACCCGTCCCTACACCACACATCCCTGCCCCCTCACCAAGCCACACCTTCTCTCCCTGTCAAGCCCCACCCCTACCAGCATGTCCCTGCCCTTCCTCCAAACCCCTCTCCAAATCCAGTCCCTCCCCTACACTCTTCAGACCTACCCACGTCCAAGCCACACCCCCTCATCTTGCCCCACCTCCTTCGGCCCGTGCCTCAACTACTTCCCAAGTTCAGCCCCACTCCTACAGCACTCAGCCCCACCCCTTCACCACTCAGCCCCAAACCTTCACCACTCTGCCCCACCAC